AATCCAAACTATTTTATGATTCTATGATTTTGCTGTACAAGGCGGTTGTCTTGTTAATCACAGCCTTTGGGAGGTCTGTTCACAAAGATGCAACAGCTTTTAACTCTGCTGCTATGATTAGGCATGCTCATTCCTGCAGTGCTGATGCAACTCCAGGAATGCAGTGCAAAAAAAAGGATTTATTCTGACCTGGGAAGTGAAATAGGTATACTAGTAAAAGGAATCTTTAAGTTATGTAGTTAGGCCCATGTTAGGAGTTAATTTGTGCATGGAGGGGAAAGCAACCAGGTTGTGTTATATTTCCTTCACCCTCCAATATTAATCTATTGATGCTATGCATTAGTATTAAAAGGATGGGAGGTGGCGAGCATTCGTTAGAATGCTTGGTGTGCATCAGTACTGTACGTGTCCTCTACGCAGAAGGGTATTACTGAGAACAAGTTAGAGTAAATAGGATGAAAAGCCATTTCAATTAATAAACAAGTAAAATAGAGGAATTCTTTCAACACAAAACTTTAAGGTTAAGAGATGGGTAACTTACTAATATTGGTTTATGTATTGAGATCATGTTTCTGTATAATTTATATAAGAGTAGAAATTTATTTGAATTCTGATTTTTTTTTTTTTTTTTTTTAAGAACAAATTAGTACCATTGAGTTTATGCAGAGATTGTTCCCTGTGCAGTTACAGGATGTGGAAGTGTGTGTGGAATTATTTGTATTGCGAGGTATGCAAAAGGAGTTGCCTCTGAAGAGTTGTTTTTTCTGTTAATTATGTTGTAAGTCGCACTAAATAGAGCAATTACTTAGAGGGTTTTGTATTCCTTTCCCTTTGGCTTTTATTTTCTGAGCAAAGAAATCCAACTACTGATCAATTTCTTAGGTGTCTGCTAGCTGGAAGGTATTTATTGATCTGCCACTTCAATTTGCTTGATTTTGTCAACTCCTTAAGTTGTAAATGCTTGAAATTATATTGATGCTCTGTGCATTCGACGTCTGCTCAGTGACCACTCAGACTGTTGGAGTGAAAGTGTTCTTACATGATTAAACTTATTTTGAGATCTTTTTTGGTTTTGATTTCTTTTTCTTATCAAACATGAACTTGTACAACTCTCCAAATCCTTTTACTAAAGTGAGTATTATTAAAGGACTAAAATATGACTGTCAGGAAATTTGGAAATTTCCTTCTGCAATCAAATTTTTTTTTTTAAGTATAGTGGGGTCAGTCCCAAACTAGTTGAATTGACATGAACTTCAGTAGCTTAATAACTGGTATGCTTTCTAGCTGCATGCCAGTCAATTTGTATGCTTAATTCTATTTGAGAATCTCACTTTCATTTTCATTGAAACATCTTTTAACCAAATTAGGTTAAAGCAAAGTTATTTTAAGTAAACCTTCAATGAATGAAACCATGCTTGAGCAAAGTTGACAGGGTAATTAGACCTATTTTTCTTTGCATGTAGAAAAGAGGACTATTTGAAGTATTTCTGGGTATTTTTGTAAGTTGATCTATGATCTGGAGTTTGGTTTAGCGAGGAATTTTTCCTCACTTTAGTCCTTTAAATTCAATGTTATCTTATTTTTAGCCATTTCTCCATTTGAAGTCCAGCCACTTTCAACTGAGGTCCAAGAAGGTGGAGTAGCTCGATTTGCCTGTAAAATAACAGCAAACCCTCCTGCCATTGTGACATGGGAAGTGAATCGAACAACTTTACCTTTAGTCATGGACAGGTATGTAGAGTTACACATTTTAGAATGTCATTTATTTTCTGTGGTAGTTTTGAGCCTGCTACAAGAAGAAAATCTGAATACTTGCAATGCCATTACATAAAAAAGGTTCCATGTGTATAGTATGTCAACTATTAAAATAGCTAGTAATAGTTATGTTAATGAATTTGAAATAGGTGTTATGAGTGCAGAGCAGAATCACCCACTATTGTCTAAATAATAATCATTGACCTATGAATTGTCATTGGAGAATTTTGTATGCAGGAATGGGAATTGCTGTGGGATACAGAATAGACGGACTTTGGCTGTGGGGGTGGTTTGAACTAGCGGGATTGCTTTCAAGGAAGAATTGATGCTGAACCTGTTTTTCTTTAGAGGGCCAATAAGAATTATATGTACAGAAAATTGAGTTAAAACACTTCATGCTAGGGAAATTCTGCGCAGGGGGACTTCTCTTGTATTGATTAACTTGAAGCTTACAGCCTGCTCCCTGCTAGATTCCTTCCCTGTCCAAATTTTGTTCATTGAACCTACTTCCATCCTTTTCGACATGTGACTTTGGTTGAACATGTCTAAGATACCTAGCATGCAAAAGAAGGTAAAAAGAGAAACATAAAAATTGAAAGCATGGGTGGGTTTCTGGGAACCGTATACCCGTTATGACAGTGTATCAGAAATTGCTGCCAAAAACCAGCCAACCTGAATAGTATGAATGTAGTAGCTGGCTAAAGAAGATTGGGATGGTTGCTTCTGAGGGTGAGAAAGATCTGCTTGTTGAAAGTAAATTCCTCTGCTCTCATTGTGATGCTGGAGGGAATCCCGCTTGTAGTTCAGAAATGAGGGGAGGCGAGTCATGTATAGAGAATGTTTTTGAGTCTCCAGCCTGCTGTTCCCAGGTCAGTGTAGCAATAGCAGTGTAGTCACTTGTAAATCAAGCAGTTAATTCCATGGTGGTGTTCACTGGCTGAACATTTATCTACCTTTCTTTTTTTGTTTCTGTGACAGGATAACTGCTCTACCTACAGGAGTTCTTCAAATCTATGGTGTTGAACAGAAGGATGCTGGGAATTATCGATGTGTTGCCACAACAATAACCAATAGACGTAAAAGCACTGAGGCAGTGCTGAGTGTTATTCCAGGTACTCACCATGTGAGATTTTTTTCAATGGAATTATATTCTTTTTTACATTATAGCAAAAACACTTACATGTGTTGAAGAGCTGTAACTGTCCTCTGAACCACCTGCCCAAGTAATAATTTTGCTTGCTTGTATCTTGTGGCTAAAATATTGTTCAGTGTAAGTTTCCACAATTACTGAAATAAGGCTTTGGTGTAAATTTAATTTCAAGCATCCTTAAAAAAATGTCGTGTTTTATTTCATATTTAATTGAATTTTTGTTTAATTCTTCTCACTTTCTTTGATTTTTTTAAAAAAATTTTTTTCCCCTCCAAAGCCTCAGATTTGAAGCCTTTTTACAAGCCGTCTATAATAGCTGGTCCTCAAAACATTACGGCATCCCTTCATCAAACTGTCATACTGGAGTGTGTAGCCACAGGGAATCCAAAGCCAATCATCTCATGGAGCCGGTTAGGTAGGTCTTAAAATTACCGCATATGACCTTCAGCCTGTGGAGAGGAAGTGAAACTGGAAAGAAAGGATTTCAGCAATTAGGTTACTGTTCCGAGGCTTCATGTAGTGTAGGTAACGATTAGTAGGTTAGGGTAGGATAAGTGAAACACTTTTAGTTGCATACTTCCATACTGCTGTGAAGAAGCCCTGGGGTTTTCTGAGGCTTTGGACTCCCCGCTTCTCCCCAGCGCAGTGTGGGCAAAGTGCCAGGTAGGGTGGTGACCTCCAGGGATCTGTGACTTGGAGTAAAATCAATGGTGAGTTAGGGCAGGTTGGAGTGGTTGTATCCTATGAAACAATGCTGTAAATGTTTCTTCCCCTCTTCTTCTTAAAAGCAGTTTGTGAATGTGATTTGGACCTTGTGTTAATAGGCCATTTGGACTGTGGATAAGTATAGTCAAACCCTGAGTAGTCTGCCTAGAAGAGGAGAAGAGAGGGAATGCAGTAAGAATAATAACATCCATCAGCGCATCACATTTTTCCATGAAAACTACCTCTGTGTTTATTCTGACATGTACGTAAATGTGAAAGTCAGGACTGTACCTGTAGAAGCATGAAAAGTTTTCCTACATTTTTATTTCTAAAAGCGGGAGAAATAAACATATATTTCCTAGTTGATTCAGTGGCTCTTGTAGACAAACAAGTAAGAAAAAAGTTACCTAACAGTCAGAGAGCATTTGCTGTGAAAATAGAAGAAAATGTATGGTAATCAAATATATTCATTTTATTCCCAGCATAATTCAGACAGAGATAGATGATCCCTGCTTGTAAAGATGATGTGGATGTTGGTAGTGATGAACTGAATCATAGTGCAAGACAATTGGGGAGGCTAACTGGGAAAATGGCATTAGCTGTAATGGTGAATTTCAGATATAAACCGCTTAGCAAGTGGTAAGACCCAGCCATCTGAATGGTCAGATAACTTGGGTGAAGAGCAAAGCAAATGCAAAATGGAAACCTCTGAAAGCTCATCTGTGATTTCCCTTTGCATCTTTTGACTTTTAAACTCTAATCTATGCCATTACTGCCTAGGCAACCCTATTTAGGTAAGTTATTTACATACATTGAACAGCCTTGTAACCACACTTCTCCCACTCTCTCAAATAGACCATAAGTCCATTGACGTCTTCAATACCCGTGTCCTTGGAAATGGGAACCTCATGATCTCTGACATAAAGGTGCAGCATGCAGGCGTGTATGTCTGTCGAGCCACTATCCCAGGCACACGAAACTTCACGGTAGCAATGGCAACTCTCACTGTGCTGGGTGAGCCTGCTTTGACTTCCACAGTGTGTTTTAACAAGTTGTGTCTGTCTTGAGCTGTGCAATGTACTGGGCTGAATTTTTATCTCAAACAGCGCACCAAGGTCTGTAGGAAGACTGCAGAGATAAAACAGATCACAGAACTGTGGCTGCCTTCTTCTGTCTGTTGACTTAGATGAGAAATGTCAGATACTCATCATTTGAGTTATAAACCAGCAGTTCATTTGCACTTGGAGATACCCAGATGCAATGTTTGCTCTGGGAAGACAGGCTTTCAACACAGAAAAGAATCCTGTAACAAAGCAGAAATATGTAATATATATGTATGCTTCATGAGCAGTATGTCATAGGCTGGAGTTTGATTTGTTTGTATTTATAAATGCATGAACAAAAATGTGTAGAAAGTTGCTGTCTGTGCAGATAGTATGTATCTTTAAACAAATGTGTTTTGTTTACATGGAACATGCTTTCTGCATGGGTATATCTGTATTTGAGTGGCCTGAGGAGAGAGGTTTGTGTGTGGTTTGTGTTGTTCTGACTGTCCTTGCATTTGTGGGAGCTTGATTTTTTTTTTTTTTTTTTTTTTTTTTTATTCCCTTGTTACTTATCTGTAGCTCCACCTTCATTTGTGGAATGGCCGGAAAGTTTAACAAGGCCTAGAGCTGGTACTGCTCGCTTTGCTTGTCAGGCAGAAGGAAATCCTGCCCCCAAAATTTCATGGTTAAAAAATGGAAGGAGAATACACTCCAATGGTAGAATAAAAATGTACAACAGGTAAGATTGCAATTGTACAACAGGTAAGATTACAATTGCTGTATGACAGCTGTGCTAATGATGTGCTACCAAAGGATGAAATTGCAGTAACTAAATACAGCCAAGCAAGATATAACTCAAGTAAACATTAAATTGGACATTAAATGTAGTTATGGACATTTCCTTGGCAGAAGGAGTGCAGATTAGTCAATACCTAAAATCCTCAGCAAAGCTTTTGTGATCACTGCCTTACCTGGGGTGGAAACTGAAGTGATTTCACCACAGAGTTGCTCTAGATTTACAGTAATGTAGCAGAGACCAGGATCTTGCTAGTTGTTTGAGGCTCCATTTCACTACTTCTGTATAGTGAGCAGCTCATATTAAAGAGTTGGTTAAGAAATGACAACCCTAAGGTTGTGCTTTTTGCAGGCGGGAAATAGATTTACAGGTTTGTTTTCACTGTGCCTGGCTTTGCAGGCATAAACATAAACATGGCAGGTTTTGAGGAACACTTCAAGTTGCTAAGTTTCACAGCGGCACATCCATTTCTAATAGAAGAGTTTGTGGCATGCAAGTCAACTATACTAAACTCATAAAGCAGAGGCAAACGTAATTGTTGTTGCATTATGTAGAGCTAAGTTTATCCACAATGTAAGCTTTTTCCCCCCCTTTTTCTTCCTTTTGGATTCAGTAAATTGGTGATTAACCAGATCATTCCTGAAGACGATGCCATTTATCAGTGCATGGCTGAGAATAGCCAGGGATCTATTCTCTCCAGGGCCAGGCTTACTGTAGTTATGTCAGAAGACAGACCCAGTGCACCTTACAATGTCCATGCTGAAACGATGTCAAGCTCAGCGATCCTCCTAGCATGGGAGAGGCCACTGTATAATTCAGACAAAGTGATTGCATACTCCGTTCATTACATGAAAGCAGAAGGTAAGCAGTTTGATTTAAATACTATTTAACTACTCGTATGTGGTAAGAACTTGAATGTCCTTGCAAAGACTGTCAAATTTGAATGGTTCATAACCAGGGCTGCATCAGAGCATACCAGCGTATAAATGCATGTTGTAATCAACAGGCATGCTTGGGGAAAAATGCTTTTGCCACATCATCTCATTTGTGGGACTGAGTGTTCTTCCAACTCACCCTTGTCTGATTGCTCCAGTGAGCAGATTTTGAAGTTAGGAATGGGCTTTAAAACCTGGGACCTCTATACTACTACCTGGGTTTCCCTCTGTCCTCAGCAGGAGCTTCTGCCTACTCTCTTCCATGTGTGTGCTTGGCAGGGAAGGACAGAGCATACAATAGAATCCTGGAAGCTTACAGAGTAGAACTTTTCACCAGAGACAGCTCTTTTGTCTAGATCCCCAAATTCTAGTGACTTTACTGGCTTTCATGTATTTTGGAGTAGAATAATTGATGCTTTATTGGCTTAATTATCTTCTCTTAGAAAGAATATTGGCTGAATGGTAAAGTCCTCTCTCCTTTCACCCCTTAGTCTCCTATAATGAGAAAAGTATACTCAAACTCTAAAATATGGTGAAATAGCCATGAATGGTTTATCCTAGTCTCTGAAATTATATATAAATTCCTATATAAAAGGGAATGGATAGTTAAAATAAAAATGAGTAAGTAGACATTTTAAAACCCCTTAGTATTAAGTAATTGCTTTAAGCTAAGGTAATCGTTAAGGTGATAGACAACAGACATTTTTCATAAGCAGGAGAAGTGATTGCCAAAAGACTTGAACATTTGTTAGGTGCATGGCTTAACTAAGCTGCGATGCAGCTCTGTTTCCTAGGAGTGATTTCTTTTTCCATTTCTATTCAGTAAGTGGTTTATTCAAGGACAGGACTGCAGATGCTCAGCTCTGTGTGGAATACCAGTCTGCCATCTGCTAAGCAGAGGACAGGAAGGACAGCTTAATTACTCTTAACACTGATGCAGGAATAGCTGCCTTTGCTTTTGCAAGTGGGATATTTCAGGACACAAGAGAATTTTGTCTGAAGGAAGGAAGGAAAGAGTTTTAAAAGATAATGAGGACAAGAGGTGCGGGAAATTACCCCCTACACTTTCAGTCACTGAAGTATTGTGCTCACAACCCCCTCTTAAAGCTAATATGAATAAAGTCACACTAGATAAGTTATCCGGGTAATTGTATGTCTGGTGCCAGTGTAGAGAGCAGAGACCTGGTAACTTCAAAGAAAACTGGAAGACTGTCCTTAAGGAAGTGTGTGTTTGTGCAGGAAACACAGTAGTGAAAGGAATTATCTTCTGAAATGTGTTTTCTGCAAAATTTTTGTTTTCTGCAATCTCTGCCTCATTTGCTTGCTTGTCCAAAGGTTATATCTTGTGAAATGAGATTGTACCTTGTCTTGGTTTAGAAACCAAACCAAACTCCAAACAAAAGCAACCATCCAACCAAAAAACTCTGATTTATTTGAACTTGCTTTCTCAAATACCATTTTTTCATCTTTCCAGACTGTCTTGTGATATTTACTTTATTTAATACAATGCTGTTGCGCATCCTTTCACGTTAGTAAAGAAATCCACACAGGGAGAGTGGGGAGGGCTGTGTTAAGAGGAGCAATTACAGTGGTGGGAATCAAAATGTAGGTGATCTGCATGCATTTTTTTCTTTGGTAACATGATTGGGTAGTACCAGAAGATCTGCATCAGGACATAAAACCACTTTTGTCTCGTTTTGTAGAAAAGGTGTTGAGCTTCAAAGGCTAGTGGACTGCACTTCTGTAAATAATTGCTTTATAAGTGATAGTTTGTAAACCTTTCTGAGGATGTTGCCCACATATCAGAGGCATTATTAAAAACCTAGAAAATGCCTTTGTGAGAAAGTATCACATGAGTCATCTCTCTAATGTATATTTAGAAGCAACTATATTTAAAGAAATGCAAATTAAATATTAAGGAAAATCTTTTGATGACATTCACACCATACCAGGCCATAGAGGTGCTAACATGGACTGTTGATGTTATCAACACCTTATTTACTCTGTAAGAATTCTAGACAATTATGTATTAATGTAAATAGTTTGTATGAATGTATTGCTTTCATTATTCCTTTCAGCCTGTCTTTCCCCAGTCCGCCCTCACACCCTGCTTCAGACCCTAATGAAGATTAAAAATGATCTCAGATATATCTGACTTAACTAGAGTATATCTTACTTGCTTAAAGCTTCTTGTGTAACTTTTTACTTTATACATTTATGTTCATATATTGCTCTCTTGTTTTAGTTAGGAACCACATTTGTCAGTGTGAGTAAAGAACATTTTATTGCAAAAGAAAGACAGTACTTGCTAAGTCTCCTAAGTTGTACTGAAGCTTATGATTCCATAAGCTTTAACAGAAGGGAAAACTGGATAATACATTAATCATATGCAGTTCTGTAGAGTTTTTTCTGTAGACTTCACAATGTGGTAGGTGCTTTGAATACAAAAGATACCATCACTCATCATTTAATTTCACAACTGGAGTATTCTGATGTTTCACTGTAAAAACAGGTTTAGGTCCTCTTCCCTATTTAAAAAAAAAAAAAAGTTAGTGTTTTAATCAAGTTAGTTGAAGAAACTAACAGGTGTTTTTTTGTGTTTTTGTTTTTTGTTTCTTTAAGCAGAATATTTTACATTCAAATCGGGGTCATAGTAGCAAGAAGAATAAGGGTCTGATGAGCGTGCATGTTGGAGTGTGTTAATTCCTTGTTAGTGATTTAGAAAAGGCACAAAGGGAACACTGATTGTGGTGGAAGGCAAGCCTTGTTCTCTATTATGGCTGTTTCATTAGGGCCTCTGCATGAGGCCTAGCAATCCATTCAATGAGAGAACAAGTCCTTTTAATTTGAGCTCAAGGATCTTGTTTAGCAGGTCAGAAATCGTGCCTTGCAATTCCTAATTAACAAGCCATTAACTAGTCTGTTGTGAGATGCTCGTAATCTTGTCTAATTAAAATGCTATCAAGTTAATTCATAAATGTGGGAAAACTTAATGGCGGAATTTGCCTTTCGTTTTGTTTATAAATGCAGTTGTGAAGAGGAGGAGCTGGCTCTTACAGAGTTTTGATTAAGTTGACATGCACTTGGTGTGAATTGTTCGTTAATACAGCAGCTTTCACACTTATTCCACTTTATAGCCTTCCTCTATAGGAATAAAGCCCAACAAAGACAAGGACTGCTGCATGCATTGCTATGCATATTTTAATGTGAATTGCTGAGAATTTTTTCTTTTTTTCTTTTTTTTTTTTTTAACAACTCACTAAGGAGCCAAACATTTTTGAAGCTCATTCTGGTCTGTTCTTACTGGCCTTTCTCCAAATTAAAGAAAAACCGTGTCAATCAAATGTAGTAGAATTTGCAGGGCTAAAATGAGATCCTTTTGCTGAATAAATTCTTTCTGTTTGTTTCTTTTGGGGGGGGTGTTTGTTTTGTTATTGATGGAGTAGAGCCCTTGCATTCCTTGCAGTCTGCTATAGAAAGGCTCTGTAAATAGGTTTTGAAAAAAAACCTCCCTGACTCTAAACAAATAGATTTAGAAACTTGGTATGAATGATAAGGCTATTAGAGCTTGTCTGTTGTGTTACTGTACATTGGGCACAGTTTGTTGTGACTAATTCTAAATAGGGTTTAGAATTGCATTCAGCATCCCGTGTTCAGGAAAATCCTGAAACACCATAATCTACACAACAGCAAGACACAGTTACTCCTGTGCAATAAAGAACTTTTACTTAGTAGGATTGAAAAAATAGAGGTAGGCTGTGGAAGAACATGAAATAACTTTGTAAGATCTTAAAGCCAAGATACTGTGATGTTTAGTGATTGTCAGGAATTTTTGTTTGTCTAACCCTTTTTTTATGCCAGGGTTAAATAATGAAGAGTACCAAGTGGTCATTGGAAATGATACAACGCATTACATTATTGATGACTTGGAACCAGCCAGCAACTACACCTTCTATATTGTAGCTTATATGCCTCTGGGAGCCAGTCAGATGTCAGATCATGTGACTCAGCACACCCTTGAAGATGGTAAGGCGAAGGTTTAGGTGAACATTTTTATTTGCACTGAATAGAAAAGTGCAATCCAGTGCTAACGGCTCTTGAGCATCCCAAATTTCCATTGATGTCAGTGAGACTTCTGGATACATGCAATGTAAGACTGAGCCAGCTAGTGAGAGGAATAAGACTAAAATAACATTCTGACAGGGCAGCATTGTATATTACACGGTGTCTTTTTCTATGTTGAAAGACATTTCGTTAAATCATGTAAATAACTATTCGAAATCTTTAAGAACTCCTGCAGTGTTGAGAATTTGATGATAGCCTAAGATTTAGTCTCTATGACTCTCTCTTGGGCATCTGAAACGTGAATCAAGCTGCACACCCACTGCATCTTTTGCAAATTTTGAAGGAAAATTTGAAATAAAAATTTGCTATTAAAAAAAAAAAAAAAATTTGTTTGGGTTTTTTTTTGTCTATGTGCTTGTTAGTAGAATCAGAATTTCGTAAAAGACCCTACTGATTTATTTCTGTGCAGTGATTTAACTAATGTGAACATCATGGCAACAACAAACTGTTTCATATAGTTCATTAGAACTGATTAATAAATACTGACAGGGTTAAGCTTTGGCAGCATGGAACATTGCCAGTTCCAGTTGTCTGCCTGTCTCTTTGCCAGGAGTTACTACTGTCATTACATGGTTGGCGGAAGAGAACACACACTGAGTCTTCAACAGTACAGGTTGTTGTCTAGACTCTCAGTTTAAGCTGCTGCATCTAACCTTTACAGTTTGTCAGAACAGTAAGGTGCTGATTGCCTTTGATTACTGCTGGCAGCAATAAGAGAAGAAAATGTTGAGGGCCTTACAGAAAGGAGCTTGCTAAGGCTATACTGCATGCAAAAGGTGAGAAGTATGAGCGGTGTCAAGTTATCCTTAAAATAAACAAGAATCTACAAAACTTCTTGGATTATTTACTCTTACATTACTGGCACCTCATCATAGGCTAAGGTGTCAGATGAGAATTTTCCATCTCTCTTTTTCCTGAGTTCAGAAGTTTTGTCTCTTCCTTTTTAGTTCCCTTGAGAGCTCCTGAAATTAGTTTGACAAGCAGGAGTCCTACAGATATTCTCATCTCTTGGCTGCCGATTCCCGCAAAATACAGGAGAGGTCAGGTGGTCCTGTACCGTCTGTCTTTCCGCCTCAGCACAGAGACCAAAATCCAAGTCTTGGAGCTTCCAGGGACTTCAGATGAGTATCTCCTTGAAGGCCTGAGGCCTGACAGTGTCTACTTGGTTCGTATCACTGCTGCAACAAGGATTGGCTGGGGAGAGGCATCTTTGTGGACTTCTCACCGGACTCCCAAAGCTACAAGTGTGAAAGGTAATTCCTAATGTTACCAGCAGCCTTGAGATGGGGTCAATTGCAGGCTTCATCTGAAGGCTACAAAATTTTTCTGACAGGTAGTGCAAGGATGTGAAATAGGTTTTTCCCCTTACATGTTCTTGTTCTGGTGATCTAGAAAATAGTGTTCTAACCACGATTCTGTGCATAATCTGCAAAAACTTCTGATTGCTTTAATAAATTAAATGCAGTTAATACATAGTTTCAGGATCAAAAGTTGAAGAGGAACTAATCTGTCTTATGAAAGGCTTTATATGTGACAGGAGAAGGAAAAGCTGATGTATTATTTTGGTGTCAATCTTTGATTGTTTCCACATGTTGATGTTCACATATTTGACATGGTGGCAGGAAACTTTAATTCATGTTTGTGAGATGCTGCTGCTCAAATGTTTTAGCTTGTAGACTCGTTTCCAATAATAACACGGTTTTCTTCCGTCCTATATAATTTGAATAAAAGAATCTAACAACCCCAAACCCCATTGTTATTCAGTGTAAAATACCTTTCTGCAAATTGGGACATTACACATTAGTAGTGTGTACAGGTACTTAAAAGATCTGAATTGATGCATGTATGTCTTATGCATATGTCAAAATGCACATATGTTTTGAATATGCAAATTGACTTGATATTTGAAGTCTAATTTAAGTTGTTATAATTGAGCCTTGGATTACATTATTATTTAGTGATGTCATGCAGAAGAGCATTCAACTTTGTATGAATGGCTTGAAAAAGATGTAGATTTGTATTTGTAACTTTATTTCTTAGCTGTAATCCACATCCATCTACTTTGGATTTCATTGAGTTTTAACTACTATAGCAAATTATTAGCACGAGATGAACTGTGATGTTATTGTTAATCACATTTGCTCTCGCTCACTTTAAAACAGGAGGTAATTTTATAACTATCTTTGGAGTGGTTTTGTTTTTCTTTGAAAATAACTACCTTATAAAATTAATTAGTTAATTAAGATGCAGAATTTAAAAAATGTTTCTATTCTGATTTATCTGAAATTAAGTTGTTAGATTAGCTTATAGGGACTCAGACATCATAATAAAGAAATAATTATGCAAGTACACAGATGAGCCAGAATCAAAGTCTTGAGTGAACTTTGGATTGATGGGCATCCAGATTTTTGCGTGAAAATTAGTTGTTTCTAGAATATGAGTATTATATATATTTCTCTAAAACCAGCACCAAAGTCTCCTGAGCTGCGTTTGGAGCCGATGAACTGTACAACCATTACAGTACAGTGGCAGCAGGACTCTGAGGACACTGCAACTATTCAAGGGTACAAGCTGTATTACAAAGAAGAAGGCCAACAGGAGAATGGACCAATTCTGTTGGATGCCAGTGATCTTGAGTATACTGTCAGTGGTTTAGGTGAGTATATAAAATATTTCTTATCTTTTCTGGAAGACAGCAAAGTCAAAGGACATCTTAGGGAGCTTAAATTATTAGACCTGTAAGGCAACAACGTTAGGTTTGGCCATATATTTTCCCAGCAGTAAGCTTTGCAAGCTTGAGTTATGCTGCTGATGGAATAATCCTCTCCCAAAATATGTGTTGCAGGACACTTAGATAACCAGATCTTGTAAATCTTGTATAAATTGGAAGAAGGACAGCCAGCTACTTATCACAAGATACAGAACTATAGTTAGTAAACACTGCTCGTAAATGACATGTCTTTTTAATATTCAGTTTAATAATCTTTTTTTTTTCAGCTTTTGTGTATTTACGCCTGATCTAGTAACAGTGAAAGATTAATACAAAATGCCAAAGATTTTTCTCTGGTATTTCTAGCCTATTTCTCTGTTATTTGTAGCCTTTGTCACAGCTATACTGCACAACAAGCACTGCTTGCTCACCGTAGTAGCAAGTAGTCCTTGTGCATGTTATTATCCTGTTAATATTTTTAATGTGTAAGGGTAAATATTTGCAGGACTGAGCACAAAGATTAGGGCACAGAGCTTGCTGAGTCCCACTGGAGTCTTTCCATTGATCATCTGACTCTTTCCTCATGTAGCTCTTGCGATGTGTATTAGTACAGATGTGTTGGTATTATCCCTAGGTAGAAGGTGTTTCTGTTTACATATACGACTGAGAATTTCTTTCATAAAAAGATGTGATCTATAATGTAATCAACAAAAGTAATATAGGACTTGACACTTAGTGTTTGAAGTGTGTTGAGATAGTTTACTTAGGGGTAGCGTGGAGAATTAATCTTGACTAAATCATCAAAATTGACCTGCAGTCTTAATTAGGTCAAATGGCCTCTTGACCATGCTCAGATATTCTCATCTGCTGCATACTGTTGAAATACTATTTTCGGGGAGATTTGAGGAGAGCCTTCTGGTCTGTTAACTGGACAACTGACCATCTGTGACCATTTCTAGTCAGAGCATTTGGCAGCAGCTGACTGTTTAACAGAGCTGTGAGACAAAAGAGCAGTGAGTTGAAAGGATGTGGTGTCTCTGTGTCCTAGGACATAAATGCCTTTTTTTTTTTTTTTGTCTTCTCATTATGCAGTTACAAAGCAGTAATTTCAGACACATGAAAACTTAGTAACTGTGTGATCCATGTCATATGGATTTTGTCAGTACACTAATTCTCTTCAGATTAAAATATTATTTTACAGAATTATGTTAGAATGTGTATTAAGTGTGTGTGTTTATTGGTTTTTCTTTCCAGTAAGCATGCAGACAGAGGAGAAAACAAAAACAAAGTGAGTTTGGGAAATTACAACTTTCACATGGTCACATTGTTAACTGAATTACAGGAGGTGTGGGCATGGAAGAATTCATGTGCTTGAGTTAACCATTCAGTCATGGTGCACATGATGTGTTGAATGTTTATTCCCTATCATAATTCTAAGTATCTAAATATGGTGACCAAAACATGATACATTCCATATAATCTGATTGCCATCATTTATATTTTTCACGTATGCGTAATTTATGCTGCCATAGGTTAGATCCACTGAAGAGTATTTTTTTCAAATAACTTCAGTAGAAATCATCTTTTTTTTATTTTTAATGGGATGTATTGAGTTATTTGAAGTATATATCAAATATGGGAAGTTTTCCTGTGTAAATTTTTTTGCTGGTTTCTTATTTTTGTTTGCTTTGTAGCATTTACAGAAAAAGGCATTCATTGGTACAGCTACAAAAGACTCACTTGGCACAGGAAATTTGATTAGGTCGTGATTTTCCACTGCTAAGATGATTACATATGTTGAAGCCTGGAAAGTTCACATAGACTTCTCATAGTGACAGTGCCTGTCTGACTACTGTATTTACCCATTGAGAAGCTGCCTACTTGAAATACTTGTGCATGCTAAATTATTTCTTAGAAAACAGTCTCAACCAACCTTTTTCTGCCTGTGGCAGCTGCACATCTGGAGAATATAGCAGGTAAAATTACATGCAATATATAAACCCAGCAAAGACTGTAGCAACATCCATGCATTTCTGATTTGCTCTTCTTTTTATTTCTTGTTAGTAATGTAAATCATTTGGACAAGGTTATTTTATTTATGCATTTGAAATTTAAAATACTACTTATTAGGAAGTGGTCCTATCTGGAAGAATTTGAGATAAAACAAGGCAAGCCACCACTCTAGGTTTTGTGACTATGGTAAACTGAATCTTCATGAACTGGACAGAGGCTTTGAGGACTAATGTTCTGTCATCCATTTGCCTCTCCTGAGGACACTAAACTACTGATTTATTGACAGCCTCTTTAAAATAAATGTCTTCATTATGAGCTACAGGAATTAGTAGAATACCGCAAGTGTGAAAACTGAACGGGAAAGGTGTGTGTTAAGATTTTTGGTTTCATGTATGTTGGATAATGTGGTCAAAAGAAAAGGTTATTCCTAATTTGGAAGAATATGCTAATAGTATTAGGTGCTTCCCACTGGCAAAGATAGAGTAGTTTCTCAAGCGTTATCTGTCGCCACTAAAGTTATGTGGCTTCCAAAACACTCCCTCTGCATGTCTTAATTTGTCATGACCTAAGGCTGCTCTACCATTCGCTGTTCTCTTGCATAGTTAATAAACTGCAGATAGACTTCTAGTGACATTTGGAGCATGTCAATACTCCATGGAACTTTCTGCAGATGTTGGTACAACTGCCAATTGTGCAAAATCTGTGTATTTAAAGAAGACGGTTCCCTTATTCTGTGGCAATTGAAGTGCATCACAAAATCAGAATTCATAATATTCTCTAATCAAAGAGAACATTAGCATTGATACTGTAAGCGCTGTTGGTTGCATTGATTGTTGATATCATTGCTATAACTACTGTAAATGATTTGCAAATGTCTACAGGACTCTTGATGGAGGGACAAGTGTGATAGGTAAAGCAGAATCAGCAATGCTAGTGTAAAATAGGTTACAATGATTGAACATGAAATATAGCAATATGAATATTATGCTGTATGTTTTAATCTCTTGTTGGTTCCTACCTTGTTTTTTGAGAACTGACCTCTTTTCCTCCAGTGTAGGTCTACCCAGTTACTTCTGTGTATTTTTAAACTGGATTATTTAGCATGATAGTCACCATGTAAATAGAATTAAATGATCTGACCAGAGTCAGGGCTGCCATTCTCAAAACAAATATCCACAGTTTCACATAGACATTTGTTTGTGTTAAAGGTCTTGGCATTTATTTTTCAATAGCAGGCCGTTTCCTAGTCCAGTGTAGAATTCCATTATCACTTGAATTTGCCATAGGAGCAGACCCTTGGGTGCATACCATGCATTTTTGCCTCTATTTTTAATTCCTCCTTTGCTTCCTCCTGCTCTAGAAAGTTTTCCCTAACAGAAGGTCTTTCATTGTGAGACTTGATGAGTCTGCTGGTACAGGTTCTGTTTCTGTAATGTTTCAGAATATGTGTGTTCAGAATCTGAAGTGAGTTTTTTTGGTGAAAGAGTTTGTTTGGGAATCTTCTTGCTGTGCAACAGGAGAGGGATGGGCAAAGCTTGAAAGTTAAAATAAAGGGAGTGTCCAGAGAAGCTCGTCTCCCCCTTTCAATGTCTTCAAATTATTTTTTTCAAAAAGGATTTTAAGCATGTGCATATGCATCTCTGCCTCAATGTTGTTGGTACGTACTACTGTGCTAAGTGGACTGTTTGCCTGTCACAGCTCACTGTGTTTGCAGCTATATGACCAGTAGGAAGACGGAACCTGTACAAGAAGGGCAGTGACTTAGAAGAACCCATTTTGAGCTTCTCTGGTTTATTGGAGCCAGGAACTCTTCATAACTAGGTTGTAATGCTGATGGGAATCTCATCCTGGAACCTTCATCTAGGGAGAGTAAAATCAAATTCAGCTTCTTGGTTTACAAACTCAAGAAAGTACAATCAATTCTGATGCTGTAACACGAGAACGCTGTTCTTCAAGCTGCCTGGAAGTCTCCCTCTCTGAACTTTTTTTTTTTATTTTTCAGTTCTTATCATGCTAGTAACAGCAATATTTTTACTAATTAAACGAATGCCACTGGTGATGGGGGAATGCAACATGTTCTTGTGCCATTAATGCCTTCTATGCTTGGAGGGAAGGAGGAAAGCAAGAATTCACTCTGCTAATTCATCCTTCCGTAGTTGCTGTCTGGGAGCTGTACCACCTTGAGTGATGGTAGTTACAGTGAGGATTTCAGAAAGTTGCACTTCGGTGACAAGGCTAACATAGGGACTCACTAAATGCACACAAAACCCTGAGGCAAGCAGGTTGTGGCAGAGATGTGCGTACCTTAGGTGCTCTTTTTTTTCTGTTGCATACAAGATAGTATCACAGTAAATAACCGTTTTCAGGCAGACACCTTAGGGGATGGAAAAACTGGTCTGTTAGCTTTGGTGAAAACGCCTTGAGCGTGGGAGCCCACATACCTTGGCCTTTCCCTGGTGAAGGCCCCAGCCCGGAGAGCCTGCGGAATGGAGTGTCCTGCGCTGGGAGCAACAGCCCTCAGGAGCACTGCTGGCTCCCCAGGGTTTGGGGCGCTTGCAGGCTGCAGGGCACTGGGCAGAAACTGCCAAGTGATTTGATGGCTATGAAATGGAGTCTATCTGCTTTAAAAAAAAAAAAAAAAAAAAGAATTGATTGGTGATTCTCCGAGGCTTGGAGAGACTGCAAGCTCTCTCTGGGAAAGCTTATTCTATGCTGACTGGGGTCATCTAAGCTGTTTAACATGAGGGGCATCACAACCCCTTGCTTTTTTTCCTGGTACTCCAGTTTTACATTACCGGGTAGCATTTTTCCTCTGCCCCAATCTAATTATTTTGGAAAAATGGTTAGATTCTGTCAGACTCATTTGTGCTATTTACTCCAAAAAGTTTGGTCCTAATCAGAAAAACCTCCCTGAAAGCTCTTCTATGTCCTAC